AACTGTGGAAAGCTGTGTTAGAACCGGAAAGAAGCATGCGGTTACAGTTGTAACTGCGGAAAGCTGTGTTAGAACCGGAAAGAAGCATGCGGTTACAGTTGTAACTGTGGAAAGCTGTGTTAGAACCGGAAAGAAGCATGCGGTTACAGTTGTAACTGTGGAAAGCTGTGTTAGAACCGGAAAGAAGCATGCGGTTACAGTTGTAACTGTGGAAAGCTGTGTTAGAACCGGAAAGAAGCATGCGGTTACAGTTGTAACTGTTTTTTATATCACACCCATTATCTGCTGGTGTTGTTTTGAGTTTTTGATTTATAGCCAAATATTTTGGGTAAAAATATTCTATAAGGAACACCTGATGAACTTTGTTTTAACTCTCAGCACAAAAGTAGAACAATTTGGAGGAGTCATTTGAAAGAAAAGCATCATTCTTCCTCCCACCAAAAATATGGTTGAATTGATAGTACTCGCGTTATTCCAAATTGATCGGTTTAAAGTAAATACAAATGATAAGTGTTTGATTTTATAAATTTAGTTTCTCCTCTAAACTTTTGTGGATTTTCTTGCCACCAGGAGTTTTTTTCGTTCTCGTGTGTTGGTATCTTACAAGTTGCAACTGGAGCGACCTGTGATTTTATTGCAGGTATTTATGAACAGTAGTTTTCAAAATTGTATCAGAAAGAAAATGTTTCAGAATATTCTAGTACATATTTCATTATAAATAGCTAAGCCTTAAAGATTCTGTTTGTTTGGATTCAAGTTAAAGGCGTACTAAGTACGAGTAAATATATATATAACGATTTACTCATTGTTGGTAGTGATATTTAAGGAACCCTACGTGAAACCCTTCTCACCCTGTTTTATTTCTTTTTATAAAATTTTCTGCTTGTTTAAAAAATTACCAGTTTTCATAAATATAAATCTTTCTCTTTCTGGTGCTGTAATTACTAGCGTAATTACAGAGCTGCGTGGAGGGTATATCCTGAAATATACGGGATTCTGTTGGTATTAAAATTATAATTTTAGTTATCCTGTTGGAAAAAGTTTCTGATGTGTATTGTTTACTCTTAGCAGAAAGATATTGATTACTTAATAAACAAGACTCTTTTGGAACTTTATCACTTAGCATTGTTTTTCCTCGATTCTCGAGATAAACTGTTGAAAAATGCAAACAGCTGAATTTGACAAATGTATTTGTATACAAGCTTTGTTTAATATAGTGGAATCTAGCAGAAAAATACTGTAATGAGTTCAGAGATCATAATGATGTAATATCAAATTGGATAAAGATCTTTCATTGGGCAATCTACACCAACATGAATGTTAATATGTTTTAATAGCCGTGTGTTCTGATAAAGTTTGTTAAATGTTCTTTTCCTATTACTGACAGCGATAAAAGGTTGAGAATTACACCTTTTTTAAATTTGAAATAACCTGCTATTCAGTGTTGATGAAATCCATGAAAGAACTATTTAAGGTTTAAATTCCATTTATGTGGAATGTTTTACACAAAACCAGCAAGTATAGTTTGTATGGACTTGTTTTTGTTTTCTCTCCTATGAATCTTGGAAAAGTGTGTGTAATTATTTAATATTTTCTGATTTATGAAAGGTATTACATAGATGCAATTAGCAGAAACAACTTTTGTATTTCTGTTTCTGTAGTTTGTTTGCTCTTGATCTAATTTTGTCTGGAACTTTACAATCCAACCTGAATTGTAAGCAGCTGTGTTAATGAGATTTTCGTGTGTAAATCTGTATTAAGTGGTATATATAAGTAGTATGTTTTAGTCATTGATGTTTGTGTAATTGTTCGTTGCTCAGTTTGTATCCTCAATTTACTGTAAACATACTAGTCAGTCTTATTCTTGAATGACATGTTCCAATAAAAAGCAAAGTTTCACCCAGAATTCTTGTCCACTTTAGACTCAATATTCAACACATTTTAGTAAAGACACTGCTTATGAATTCCGAAACTTAACTTTGCATTAGCAAGTGTATTGACACACACACATTTAATTTTTGTTTTTTGTCCAAAATGTTGACTAACTTAAAATGGTTTTGATTTATGCATATCTA